AGTAGCTTTCATACTAACTTGATTTTCAGACTGATTTGGTTTACTAACTTGATTTTCAGATTTATTTGGTTTGGATCAGGCTGTTTTAAAGTCGAATATATAGAAAGCATAGAATTCTCATAGAGCACGTCCTAAACCTAAAATATTAATGCCAAATCTAAACTCCTGCATCAATAGATAATTTTTGCTGCGTATTTTAGGATGGCATTTTGTACATACTTGCCCTACATCAACCATTTAATTGTTACCGAGGACCTGGTTTTAAAAAAGATATGCTACTAGTGGGCTTTACCAAAATTAACCAATAAAAGGATCCGACCAAAAAAATCTTATATCTTATTCATCTAGAAAAATGCTGAAATTCCAATTTCGTTATTTGAATATGTTTGTATTTGTTGGGAAAGCCAAGGGCTCAACAAGTCGAGTTTTATTACTACAATTACTCGAAATGTGCTTTTTCAATTAGGCATGGCTATTGCAATGGAAATAAAAAATATCTATCCGTTTATACTTATCTAGTCGGATTAATGAATCCGTTCAAAGAAAATAAGATAATGCTTAAGTTGTCACAGGAAGCTCTAAATTACATAAGGTATAGACGTATAGTGGTATACCACCTACTATGTGGAAGGAAATAAATTAAGGAACCCACAGATTTTGGAAAAACTACAATTATTGTTAACCATGGAAATATGATTTATAGTAAAAGCAGATACATGGGATCTAGAAACAAATCTCGTGGTGAAGATAAGTATTCTATAATTTCGACCCACCAAAAAAAAAAAAAGCTAGGGTTTTTTTTTTTTTTTTTGCCCCGCTGAGCCGGTGCCTGGTCGAAATTTTGAGACTTGGCTCAGGCTTCATCAAGTCGAGCCGGCTCGTGATTTTTTAACATTTTTTTTAAATTCGTGTAATTCTAACAATGTAAATTTTGTGCAATTTATATTAATTTTAGATTAAATAAAAGTTACACCCTCGGCGTTGGACCAATTATACAATAAACGTAGGTGAAGTTAAAATTGTACACGAATAAAATGTTTCGTGTACAATCTTTTTAAAACAAATGATTTTTTTTTTTTATTGTACACAAATAAAATGAATTTTTTTAAAAATTCTATACGAATGAAATGTTTCGGGCTTGGGCCATTTTTTGGCCTAGCATTTTTGGCCCATGTCACGTGCTGACCATGCAGCTTGACGAGCCACACAGGTTGGCTCAGGCTCGGGCCAAGTCCTGAAATTTGGGATTGGCCCAAGCCTTGCCGAGGCTCAAGTTGAGCCGGCGGGC